GTTATGGCAGGAACACAGATGACCTCACAGTAGCCACACTAGAAGGTCTGCATCTGGCAAGGGTGATGGCTTCCCCAGGGCTGCATAGACAGAACCCTCACCCCTCATCCTACCCAAGCTATATCCCCTCCTGCAGGAACACATGGAATTAGGATGGGATTGCTTACAACTGGTTGGGAGGGCTGCCTGGATATTCAGGTGAGGATCCTATGACGGCTTGTTGGCCCCTCCCTCCATGAGGGAGTGGAAACAGCCCACAGGCCAAGCTGTGAGGATCTTTTGCAAGCAGGTGCAGTAGACTCCTGATGGTGGGAGCAATTTGACTTGGAAGATAGTCCTATACAGGTCCTCACAAGAGAAAGGAAGGCAGTTTAGAGAAACAGTACGTATTGCTCTTTTATAGAAAACTGTCTAGTGAATTATGAAAAATAACAGTCGTCAAGAGGATTCCTGGCTGATCATTAAGAATAGCTGACCTCATGGAAAGAGCCAGGAAAGATGCACTCTGCAGGAAAGAAAAATGGAAAGAAAGACTCTGAAATGGCAACTTTCATTTCCTGTGATGAGGACAGACACATTAGTCACCCCGGGACAACTAACAGAATAGGATTCTGAAAGACATGTAACAAGATCCTGGAAGTGAAAAATGAGCCCCCAGCTTCAGCTCACTTCAGGGGAATTATGGCTGTACTTACTGTTGGTGTTGTCTGTATTGATTGGCGTAGTGCACTGTACAGGAGAAACAGCCCTGGGGAGCTGGCATAGACACTGGAAAGAATCCAAAAAGCCTGACTGGGAGAAGGCCAGGACCACGTGGGCTCACCAGCCTTCCCAGGCTTTCTCTCATGACATAATGCTTCCTCCTCCTTGCTTTTCAAGAATGTTGTCATCAGGATCCAGTTTGATGAGCTATTCTGGAAGCCTGTAGAACATTCCTATTTAAACCTGGGGCAGGTGGGGGGGATGTCTTTTAAACAAGGCAGTAAGATTTTAAAGTCCATGTCTTCTTTATTTTCCCTCTCTCTAAACTAATGCACATCCCTTTGTATAATATTTTCCGACACTATATCAATACATGAGCATTATTCAGTGTTTTACTTATCATGGTAGAAAGCAGAGGATTACAAATAGAAAACTCGTTTCCCCTTTCCCTCACAGGAAACTCTGTTAGTGACACAAATCCAGCAGGTCTTTTTCTATTTGTGTCTGTAAGTAGGCAATAAGTTAGAGGCCTCTGCCCTAGAGTTGCGACAACTATTTCATGTCAAGCGGCAGTAAGACTGACATGCCCAATACATGACCCTTAGTGGATTTTAAAATTAATTCCACCTCAGACTTTAAACACAGAATAATTGAAACTCCAAATAAGTATCTTAAAAATGTATGAGAGAGAAGATGGGGCAGGGCCCACTGGTGCATGAAAATAGCTAGAGCTAAGGCTTCCAAAATTCTGGGAACAGCGGTGCTATTAGGCTTCTAGCTGTCTATACTTCAAATAGGATCTACAGGGGCCAAAGAGTTTGAAATAGGAATGTGGTCAGATTCACTGTTAGTGTGGACTTTTAGCTGACTCATCCAAACACCAAAATAGCAACAACGTCTGTGTTGGACAAACTCACTTTCTCAGCACCCTCTTCCTGCAGGACATCTCATTACACCTTTCTAAAGGGAAGTCATGCATCTGCTGAAATGACACTTGTGCTAGCTTTGCAGGAAACACCAACCCCTTTGTCTCTGCTTTGTCTCTGCAGCCCCCTCAGGGAAATGCTATCTTGCTGTGTAGAGGGAAAGCCTACTGTCTGACAGGAGGCTGTTCTGTAGCTTGCAAAACACTTATATGGACCTTGCCTCTTGTTTTCCCACAAAAACAAGTCAAAACGGAATGTCAAAATTCCTAAAGAGGCAGGCTGGAGTCATTCCAGGGGCTGAGAGCACTCGCTGCTCTTCCAGAGACCTGTTTGATTGCTGTAACTCCAGCTCTAAGGGATCCCACACCCTCCTCAGGCCTCCTTGGACACCTGTACACATACACACACACACACACAGAGGTGGGGGGAGGGCAAATATTGACACATACGCATACATCCAATGAAAACAAAAATAAATTTCAAAGATTCATAAAGCCGGCCCACCATTGGCTTGCACCTAAGTTCCTGCTTTGAGCTCTCTGGACACAGAAGATTTTATATAACACTATCTCTAAGAAATATTTCCTCTCAGTGATGCTTGGAATGTGGTCCCAGTCACAGAGCCAGGAATTCCTGTCCTTGATCTCTAAGGGCTTCTGAGGATCTGGAAAGCAATCACAGAGCCAGTCACAGTGCCAGCACCATTATAAAACCAGATAGGGGTCACACAGGGTCTGAAGGCACTCACACAATGAGACAGGCACTGGGCCACAGGAGTCTGCAAATTCCCTGTATTTGAACATAGTTTCCCTTCAACTCCTTATGGTAAACAGTAATATAATCCTTAAGATAAAATGTGTCCCTGTTTTGGTGGGACACAGCAAAGAAAGAGATTGTAAAGGACTCTTCATTTGTAGACACACAAGTTCTTGGGCGTTAATTGACTCAGAAGCCTGGAAGGGTGCCAGCAGTCTGTGGTCACCAAACCCTTCCAGGTAAGGCCAGTGATTACTCAGGTGAAGAGCACCTGCTCACCAGGCAAGGAAGAGCCAGCTTTGAAAAACCAGGCTCTGGCCCTCAACAGCTGTGTGCGTCTGAGTGTGTTATTTTTTATATTTGTGAGTTTATAGAGAGGATTAAATGAAATAAAGCATTGGAAGCATGAATTGCAGTGCTGTACTTGACTGGACAGCTTTTCCTCATCACAGCAAAATACCCGAGATAATCAACAGATAAAGAAAAGCATTTGCTCACAGTTTTGGAGGCTCCTGTCATGATCTGATGGCCCAGATTAGGTGGATTCTGTCTCACCCATGCAAATGAACAAGTTACACTCCTATGGTCAAGGGTCCTTTCTCATCCATATCATGACAAGAACGGGCAACAGAGAAAAACCACTCATATCCTTTTTTTTCTTTCTTTCTTTTTGAGACAGGGTCTTTCCTGGCTGACCTGGAACTTGCTATGTAGACCAGGCTGCTCTGAAACTCAGCTGCATGCACCACCGCACTCAAACACTCCTGTCTTGAACAGAGCAAGAACAGGAAGACAGAGAGGCTATGATCCCACCGTCCCTCTTGAATTAGCCAAAGCTAGATTTAGGGGGCACACCTCTCAATGACTTAACAGCTTCCCACTAGGCGTCACAGTTCAAAGGTTCTCCTGGCTCTGAACAATAGCACCTGACGGGCTCTTGGGAATTCAAAAAGTTACAGCAAGGGCCTATAGGAAGCTCTTGGTCCACAGCAGCTACGGTCACTATCACATACAGCTGGAAAGAAAATGTGTAAGTCCTTCAGTCATTGAACACGTTAGCACAGCATCTGCCCACTCTTTAAGGCCACCCCAGACTCTAAAACTGGGCTTCTAGGGAACCCAAAGGCCAGACACACTCTATATTACCACCTCTTCACAGGAACAGAACAGTGATCTTCAACCCAGCCAAGCAGCAGAATTCACGCTGCCCCAGACTGTCAGAAATAAACTCTCCAGTGGGAGAAACTGAGCAACTATAGCTTTTCATAGGTTAATGCTAAAGAAACCACTGGAATCAATGGTGACAGCAATTAGAACACTTATTATTTGCACCAGATGCCATGTTAACTCCATCACACACATCCCCCACCTTTTTGTTTTTAAATTGAAACTGGGTTTTGTTTTGTTCCTAGGCTAGATTTGAAATTATGAACCTCTTGTATCAGCTTTCCAAGTGGTTGAGAGCTATGTATCACTCACACACCCCACACTTTCATTCAGTCTTCACAGAAATCCTATGAGGTACTGTTTCCATATTTAACAACTGAGGGAAATGAGGTAATGAGAAGCTATATGACACCAAGTTCATGCAGATGAGAAATGCTGTAAGACCTGAATGCAGGTCTGAGCTAATAGACGCTTTCCACTGCTCCAAAACCCAATGCTTTCATTTACTTGTTCTTCTGATGTGCATTTATTATACATGACCAGGTAATACGCTGAGAGCTGGGGAATTTAAAATGAGTATAGATCCCCATCTCCACCCTCAAGACGCCCAGGCCCTACAGTGATCAGGAAAAGATAGAAGCAAATGGGCCGGCTTCTTTATAGAAGATGATGTCATGTTCCTCCTGCCTCCCTTTGAGAGGTTGAAAACATTTGCTACTTCCCACCAGCCTCCTTCCCTTAGTGGCCATTTACCCAATCCATTTCCGTTGGCACATGCAGGCTACTAAGGCGCCATCAACCCCACTGCAGCTTTGGAGACAGTATTAACCAGCGCTGAGAGAGGACCTCTGTACTCTGCTGTTTGGGCTGGTACCTTTCATTCAGATTATTTAGCTAGCCTTGCGCGCCCACTGCAGGCAGGCAAATCAGATCTTGAGAAAGGCGTGTGCTTCGGAGCTGGTAGGCTGGTTCTCTTCCACGATTAGGCACGTCAATTAAACCTGAAGTAACAACTATTTCGAAGCTCCTTAGAAAGAAACGGGGGAAATACTGAGGCTTGCTTTTTAGAATCATGGCATGTTAGCGCGGACCACGTTCTTAGATACAGTTAGCGCAAGGCTGTGTGGTAACCTGAGCTCCAGCATCCAAGCCAAGGTGAGACGAGGCTCGCGGCTCCATCTGCCACCCCTCACTGCCTCCTAGAGTCAGAACTGGGTATTCTTTCAAGTAGACAAAAATACTAAAGTCCAACAAGTCATCACCTCGCAAGAAGGCGAGAGCTCCCCCCAGGGAAGACGTCGTGTAGGACGCGGTCCTCGGCTCTGCGCTGGGGACAAAGACAAACCCCTCTAGCTTCTCTCACAGCTATTATTAGAGGTGATCCGGACCCATTTTCAGGATGCACAGGGAAGGTAGCTGCGGAACCTTTCTTTTTCTCTCCCTTGCACTTCCACTCGGGCTTCTTTGCTAACGGACAAGTTAGAGGAGACTAAACATGGAGACCTCGGGCTCTGGGACTGGGGAGTCTTCTACTTTAGAGGCTTCAGGGTCCCCGGAAGATCGGCTCTTCCTGGTGAAAGGTATGGTTGCTCTGCGCTGGAAAGGGCTATTCCGTTCTGAGAGCCCTTACCTTGGGCTTTGCTCTAAACTCAGCCAGTGGGGCCCATATGTCAGTCACCGGGTGAGGTCTCCTTGGGCAGGGACAGCCAAATCCTGCCATCTAGCCTGCAGTTCATGCCTTATTTACCCATTCTCTCTATAGATTTTTCTCGTGCCCTGCCCTTTCTGATTGCCACTATCCCTTCTTCCTGTGGAAGAACTTCGCGCTGCTGTCCTAGAGGACAGGGGGAAGGGAAAACACACGCATTCTCAGCTCTGGAGAACCGTGCTTCAGAGTGTCCCCAGGTCGTGAGGTCACGCAGGTTTCTCAGTCCCGTTTCCCTAGAGTCGCTTACTCATGATGTTTCGATTTTGAATGTAAACTTAAAAAGTATCTGACACTTACTTGTGCAAATCCTTTTCATTTAAACTTCATTTTTAATCTTTCTCTCAATTCTTGGCAGGTGGAATTTTCCTTGGTTCTGCAGCAGCAGCAGGAATGCTAGCCGGATTTCTTACAACATTATCATTAGCTAAAAAGAAAAGCCCTGAATGGTTCAATAAGGTTTGTGACTCTGAAATCCACTCATAACATTGCTATATATATATATATTTTTTTTAACAAAGAGCAGCTTTTTGCATAGGAAAAAAAATGGTGACCTCTCACACTGTTTTAAAACTACACCCACAAAGCCTCATGGATTTGAATATACTAGTTGTCAGTCTTGATCTTTTCATGTGGTTTCTTAAAATTAACAGAACAAAACTTTGGAAAGTTATTTATTGCCTTCCCTGCAGCATGAATAAGTAATTTATTCTTGATAATATGAGACCCTGCTTAGAAAGAAAAACAATGCCACTTAAACTGTTAGTGCTGGTTGCAAGATTGTCTATTTCATAGATGTTAAAATTGTAACATTCTTTAGTTCTTTAGAATGAATGAAAATATTGTCCTTTTTTTTTTTTTTTTTTAATGCAGGGCCCAGATACTGTTCAGCCTCAATCACTGTAAAGTGTCAGGCACATAGAAGATTCTCAGAAAGCTAACTATAACCCACTTGAGACAGAAGATTCTTATTCTGTTAGCAAGATTGTACATTTGCAGTCAGATGTCATGTTCCTACTTTCCCTGTTTGGTGGGGAATTTTCTCGATGTTTATTTGTAGTTGCTTATGATGTTTGATTTTTTTTTTCCCTTATGGCTGATTAATTCCTTACTTCATCACTTTAGTAAATGTTTACTTGGGATCTTCTATGTTTCAAGCACTCTATGATTAAGGTGGAAAGGATACAAAAATGAACAGCATGTCTGTCTTTCAGAAAGTTAAATGTCAGCTGTGAGAGACACAATTAGATATTCACACAAATAACTATGTAATTAGTTTGATGTGTGCAATGGAGAATATTATTTGGAAAATCATAAACCAATTGTATTCTCTTTCCAATGAAGTTTTGAATACTGTAATGACAAGACTATATCTAATACTTTCAATTCCCTCTCAATACTCTAAAGGCTTGTGGGGCTACTAAGATCACTTATATGGCTCTTGTGGGCCATTTACACCTTTATTATGCATTATCTTTAGAGAAATAATTTAGTTTGTGGCAGATGTCATTAAGACCTAAGCAATATTGCTGCTTTAACAGTCAAGTTTTGTTTGATTTCCAAACCACAGATGTAGTTATATTTACCCTTGGGTCAGGGGTCTGTTTAAGAATCTGATGAAAGCGAGGATTATCTTATTTCCACATATTGACAATATAGAGTGCTTTGCCTTATTCTGGGGCTGGATCATAGCAAGTGCCATTTGTGGTCTAACACAGTTGTAAATTGTGGTCCACAGAATCCTGATGGTCCTTGAGAAAACAACTTTCTTGTTCATGTATAGAAATGTGCACTGATGGCACAAAGCAGTGGATGGTAAAACTGCTAAGTACCTTGGCATAATCATGGAGGCATAAAACTGACCTTGCAGTCTTTGTGTGCTTCTTATAATGCACTAGTAGTTAAAAAAAAGAGAGGGGGAAAAAAAAGGAACCAGCATTAGGTAAATGGCATTGTTGAAGCAGTAAAATTATTAACTTAATTCAATAGTGACACTTGGGTGTGCCTGTCTTCTAAATTTCGTGTGAGGAAGTGGGAAATGTGCACGAAGCACCTCTGCTGAGAGTGAAGTACGATGTTTTTCTCTAGAAAAAGCAACTGCCTTGCCAGCTGAACCAGTGTGTTTTCCCCATGGAGTGTCTTCTTTGTGAAGGAACAACTGACAGGACTGTCAGTCACTTGCAAGTGGAGTATTTGGCAGACATTTCCTTAAGAACACAAAATAAGCTTGGCTCTTGAGGAAAGCAGTTGTCAATCTTTGTTGCCAGTGATAATAAGGTTTGAAGTGAAAACACCTAGACTCTTCACTACCATCATGAAGTTGTCAACGTCTCAATACTTAACAGCTTTGCCAATGAGATGTTATGATTTCAATGATGATTTTAAAATACTCTTTAACACATGAGATCAACAGTTAAAAGAACTGTATAACTTATAAACCAATAGTGCACAGTTGATTGAATTGAATGTTACAAGTGGCAGAAATTTTCATTAATAGGACTACATGTGGCAACCAACCTTCAGAGGTTTGTTGCTCCGTACTGGTACATTACAAAGAAGAAAAGCTAATAAAATACTTATTTTTCTAACCACACATTGGTGTGAGTGTTTTATTCATATACTTCAGCTATTAATGAAAATTATAAGAAAACGTTTACAGCAAATTGACTACAGATATGAAAAGCCCCCTTTTAGGCTGGACATTTAAGAGATTAATGAAAGCATAAAACATTGATCCTCTATACTGTTTTGTTTGGAAAGATAAATTTTAATATAAAAGTGGGTTTTTAGCAAAATGTAATGGATTTGGTATTTTTAAGGTAAATTTCTTAGTTTTAATTTCTAATACATTAAATATTGCTAAGACCCGCATAATTGAACATCTTTGGAGCCCAAGTGTAAAGGAACGTGAGAAACACTGCGGAGGTGGCTAAAATGTGTAAGTTTGCCCCACATGGAGAAATGCTGAAATTAGCAGTCCCCGATTGCCAGATCCCACCTGAGAGCACTCAGTTACTGGGTTCATACTGAGCACCTGTTTCAGAAGGTTGCTTAGGCGGTGTGCTTCGGTCACCACCTGGAGCACTTCTCACAGTCACAAGACTAGCCGCTCTGCCAAAGGCCTCACTCATGCAAAACAGCCCACAGAGGCATTGTTTGCTGTTCCCACCATGCAGCAGAACTCTGAAGCACACGTGAATCAAGCAGTCTGTCCAGCATGGCACCCCTTCCGGCCCCCCAAGGGGTAAATGACACCACTTTTAGCACTACTTTTATTTAAATAAGCCGTGTTGTAGCCTGGGAACAGATTCAAAGTGCAGCCCAAAAGGACTTTGAAATGACCAACCTTTCATTTGGGTACTACCTACACATTCTCTATTTCCAGGGGATAATCATTCCCTTAGTGCTTTACTTTCTAATTGCTGAGTCTTATGTTAGGAAGGTGAAAGTTGAAAAAAAAAATAGTATTGGGGGAACATACATATATTTTTCTTTGTAATTCCTTGGATAAAGAAAAAGGGGAAAATTGCAAATTGCAAACTAAAGTTAAAAAAAAATATTCCCTCGAGTTTCTTTGGTCTGTACACATACACTGCAAAGAGATACAGAGAGGGGCTAGGGACAGACAGACACACTGGTGTGTCTTTGTGTAGGATTAGGATCTAGGGCTGGCATGAAAGGCAGGCATGCTCCTGCCAAGCTATATCCCCATCCCTCCAAGGTTATTTTTTTAAGCCAGTACTCTACCTTGTTTTTTGAGACATGGTCCTTCTCCAGTCCTGGAGCCCACACACTTGGATTGCCTGGTGGCCAGCAAGCCCCAGGGATCCCTGTCTCCATCCTCCCAGTGCTCTCATTCTCTCACACGCACAGTGCTCAGCCTGGCTTGTCATGCTGAGGATGGAGGCTCAGAGCCCATGATTGTGCTGCAGCCCTCTATGCACAGGGCATGTCCCCACATCTGTAAAAGCCCACTTGATATTTACATGAAATATTTACATGTAATCCCAGCATTACACTGGAAAAAGCAAAAGATGTGGAACTTACACAGTTTCCCTTTGGCATGACAGTTTGCTATTGGTGCTTCTTACATAGGTGAATGGTAGGTCAGTTCTTGTTACCCACTCTCTGAGGCTCGAGTGCATACCAGGAGGACTATCCATGCCTCAAGCATTACAAACACAGAATAGAAAATAAGCTGTCTCTTGGTTTTGGAAATAGTGGGCACAGTAACTGCAGTGGAGTTTGTTCCGTTCAACTGCCAAATATGGAAGGCTTGATCTTGATTTAAAGGGGTCTAGTGAAGGGAATGGAGCTTGGAAAGTGTATGCACACTCACGCACACACGCCTGCACACAATACACAAGCGTATATACCCTCACAGAGCACACATGACGTGTGTGGCCATATCTAATGTCGTATACAACTATTATTTTTTGGCAAGTTGAATCTTTTCTGAAAAAGTCAGCCAACATTATTTTGAACAGAGGGGATGAGTATCATTTGATATTTTCTCCCAAAAGAAAAAAAAACATGTGATTAGACTCTTTAAAACTTAAAGAGAAATTCATCTTTAACGTCAAGCTTCTACTAAAATTCATTGTTGGAAGTATGGAGACATTTTCACCTCACAAGTGACTGATTATTACACAAAAATCTGAGGCAAAATTGATATTTTGTTGTGAATATCTTGACTTATTTTCATATGATTATCTTTTGATTTGATTTGGTAAAACAAATGTGGGTTTGTATAGACCTTGTGTGTGTGTGTGTGAGTGATTGTGTGTGTAAAATCTCTGTTCTTTCCAGGAGGAAAATGGCTACTTCATATGTTTCTAAAATAAAATTGATGCCAAAGCATATGAACTGACCCTAACAAAATAATATTGGTTGATGCCCTTGCTTCTGAATAGGAATTGAGGCCAATTAAAGTCAGCGTGCCAGTGGAACCTGCAGAAACTGTCATACTGTGGGAAAGGAGTAAGATACCAGTGTATGTGTTTATAATAGGAAATGGTGAAAGAACGACTCCAGCAACCCGGCTATCGAAGATAGCCACCAAAACTGCCTGTCACAGCACTGAGCGTCCATCATCTGCTCTTGACCTGTGTCATGCAGGTTAGCAGAGAGAGGCTTTCTGAATGCCAGGAACAGCACCTGCCAGCACACAGCACATGCGTAGGAAAGTCCTGCACTGAGAAGTATGTTAGCAGAGTACAGAAAACAACTCTAAAAAAGAGAACTTCAGTAAACTGAAACGATCTTTTCAGGTGGAAGAGAGTGTTATAAGCTCAGTATCTCTTAGCAGATTAGCTGACTCCTCAAATGCTGCTTTAGGGAAAATGCCAGGGAATCTGGATGGAATGTACTAGGCTTTTCTGGAAGGATAAACAACACAGTGCCCCACATATTCACCAGTCAGAACTCATGCACTTGCACAAGTAGCAAAGATGCCATTTGACCTTGGGCTGTCCTCCCAGGGCCAGATGCTTACATGGGGGACTCTAATTCCCACTCACCCCCCAACAAAAATTTCAGAGCATTTACTGCATATTTTACCCAAGCTTTCTGTTCATTCCAGGGCACTATGGCCACAGCTGCCTTGCCAGAGAGTGGATCTTCCCTTGCCCTGCGGGCCCTGGGCTGGGGCTCTCTTTATGCCTGGTGTGGGGTTGGTGTGATCAGCTTTGCAGTCTGGAAAGCTTTAGGAGTCCACAGTGTAAGTAACTGGCCTTTTGATTGACACCTGGCTGTTGACTTTATGCTGTCTAAAGTTCCTGATTTTCAGATTCACATATAACTTGGTCTCTGTCTTCTGAAGTAATGGTGCAGAGTATGACTGAATTCTTCTTAATGTGTAGGCAACTTCTTGTTATATAACAAGTATAAGCTTTTCAAATATAATTAATGACTGATTCAGAGCTAATGCTCATTCTGTATAAATTGGTATTATTTGTTTAGTAAAGTCTTTGACTTGGAACTAGCTTCTATATTGTTTGACATCCATATATATAAACATACTTTTAAATAAAGCATTTTAATTAATTACTTAAACTATTAGTGTGTTGTTTACCTGTTTCAGAGAAAAGTTCTAAGCACCTGTGTGTGTGTCTGTAAAATGGATACCATGAACCCTGCAGCTCTGTGGCCCAGGCTGCACAAGCAGATGGGAGTGGACAGTGGTTTGCAGTAGGTGGCATTGGTGGCGTGGATGAAGAAAGCATTTCCGTAATCAAAGTCAGTGTGGGGTTTTTGTGAGTAGGGGGTGTGGAGTCCGGGGATGTCTCCAGGCATTGGATTGAGCGCCTGGATTGTGGATGAGGACAGTGTAACAGGAGCAGCTGTCAGTTAGAGTTGGGAGCTCAGTGTGGGACTTTTGAGCTTGGGCTCTCTGTCCTAGTCACTGTTGCTGTGAGAGACACCATGACCCAGGCAGCTCTTAGGAAGGAAAGCATTTAATTGTTCTCTTCAATCACAGTACACTGGAAGGCAGAGCCTCTGAGAGACACCATGACCCAGGCAGCTCTTAGAAGGAAAGCATGTAATTGTACTCTTCAATCACAGTTCACTGGAAGGCAGAGTCTCTAAACTCACCTTTGGTCTTGGCTACACTGGCAGTGTTGCCTGTTCAGCATTTCTCACAGCAGACTGGGGACTCCTTAGAAAAGTCAGAAAAACCTGTGACTGGAGAATTGTTGGTGATTGTTGGCATTTGTTCCATTTCTCTCACTTCAGACATTAGGGCAGACATTTAGACAAAGCTAACTAGAAGATGCTGATATTGGGATGGAGGGTTGGGTTGCTTTCCTCAGATCATGTAGCTCTCTGCCAGCAGACTCAGCTTAGAGTTCAGCTTGAAATATCTAGCAGCTAGCTTTTCCAGTTTTACCTCCGCTAGCTAACATGGGAAAGAAGTAGAGGAGAAGGGAAGGGAGTGCCAGATTTGACTGAGCCGCATGGTTCTTGATAGCTTGCCAGACTTTCCCACATCGATGTCCAAGTCTCTTACAGGACTGACTGGCCTTTCCGCACAGAAGAGAAGACATCTTAAGCAATCCTCTGGAGCAGAAAAATGCTTAGGATATAGGAGCAAGAGAACAAAAGATTTATAGTTGTATATAGCAAAGAGTAGTTATCTGAAAATCTGTGAGAAAGAATGTTGATAGAAATATGTAAACCAATTAATAGGCTATGAAGAAATAGCCTAATTTACTTTCTTAGAAATATTACTATAGTGTTAGTATTACTTAAAAAAAAAGAACTGCATAGGTTGTTTATGCACATACCACCCAAATGCACCCAATCTATATGTAAGATTTTATTTTATTATTTTATACCAAAAATAGAGCACAGCTGCCTAGGAGCTCAGGAGACTTCCCTTACTGGCTGAGGTCTGTTTGGGGACACTTCTGCTACTGTGGGAATGATAGCCATTGGTGCTTTCTGTGTTAGCTAACTCGGTGCTGACAGCCTGCATTCCCAGTGCTTAGTGCTGTAGGTCATCAGGGTGAGAGCTGGGGTAGGGAATATGAGCACTCTGCCACTAGAAGTGTCATCATAGGCATGGCCCCACTGCTGAAGACAACATCTCCATAACTCATTGAACATGGAAAAGTTGAGCTGATTCCTGGACAGCCTTCATCCTACACCACAACATCTTTGGTACAGGAAAGAACTCTGCACGCTACCAAAGGAGAAACATAAGCATCAAGCCAGCCACGAACCCTTTGATCTACAATGCCAATCTGCCTGCAAGATAGGCAGGAGCAGTGGTGGCACAAAGCTTTTGGAAAAAACCAACCAATATCTGATTTTACTTAAGGTCCACTTCATGAAATGAAACCCATACCTAACACTGCTTGGGTAACCAAGAACCTGAGACTAAATTGCCAGGGAACTAGAGCAAAACCAAAGACTATAGTTCTAAAAACAAAACAAATGTAACAATAAAATGACATTCTGCTGTACTCATAGATCAGTGCCTTATCAGCCATCATCAGAGAGGCTTCCTCCTGCATCATATGGGAACAGAGACCCACAGTCATATATTATAGAAAGTGAAAGACCAAGGAACACTGAGCCCTAAATGGGATGTCTCCATCAAATCCCTTCCCTCAGAGCTCAAGAAACCCAGTGGAAGAAGAGGCAGAAACAGAAGGATGGAAGACAATGAAAATAAGTCCCCCTAAGTCAACAGCATCAACACATAGGAACTCATAGAGACTGAGGCAGTATGAACAGGGCCTGCCTGGGTCTGTCCCAGATGGGTTTCTAGAACTGAAAGAAGTGGTCACATGCCCCATCCCTAACCTCAAAGCTATCTCTAATTGATAACCACTTGCAAAAAAAAAAAAAAAATCAGTTTCCTCCAAGGGAGTCTCACTGGGGAAACAAACTACTCTTGAGGGCAGGCTACATACCCAGCAGTAGACGGCCACAGAAAATGAACTCCACAGCACCTGTGAAGGTTCTTTGTCTCACAGTGTCATGTCAAGACTTTATTTTATGCATATTCTTATCTCTTTTTACCCTACTAGAACTTTGCAAATATATTACAGCTTCCGGGTTAGTGTTTTTATGAGACCCCTGAGTGCAACTGAGTGGGGTCTCTGTTTCTTATGTATTCCTTAGGCTCTTCCTTCTCTTTTGTCCAACTTCTATGTGATAGCTTTGTTTTATCTTTTCATCTTTTATTTTATTACTATCCCTTAGAATCTTGTTTGTGTTCTAATGAGAGACAGTGGGGCTACCCAGAGCTGCCTCTTGACTGACACAGGACTCCCCTGGCAAAGGGTGCAACCCTGCTCTAAGTTCCTAGACCAAAAGGTTGTGGATCCTCATGAGGGGGGGAGGGGGTGGGAAGGAATTGGGAGGAGTTAAGGGAAGGAAAACTATAATCAGGATATATTTTGTGAGGAAAAAGGTCTATTTCCAATAAAAGGGAAAAAAAATAAGAGTCATCATAAGAAATCAATCTAAATTTTCATAGACTAACAAAAGTAGGTTATTATACTCCTGAGGATTTGGCTTTATGGGCCAGACTGTGCTATTTTAGTTTCTAGAACATGAACAACTTTGTTTTATGACACCAATAAGAGGATTATTACCTAAGTAAAATATCTGAGGGAGAAAAACATATTTTCTAGTTAGCATTACTGAATGAGAATATGTGGACTTTTTGACAATGCATCTTAACATCCTACTAGAAAGAAAATGCAAACACCATCTGCCTTTCAGAGACTAAACCCTCTGACACCTGTGCAAGGGCATGTCTTAAAGGGCAGGAATGCTTGTTAATCCATCGATTGATTCCTCTAGAATTCCTCTGTGGGGCGACCCTGAGCTGGCTCTGTGCTGACACAAGGCTCCCCTAGCAAAGAGTGTAGCCATGCTCCAGGCTCCTAGAGAACAGTGTGAGAGGATCCCTTTGCTGGCAGTTTGAAAGCAAGAGTCTGGCCTGAGATTGGTGGTGAAGTTGGGTCTTTTTCTAGTCTCATTTGAAAAATGCCATTTTCCTACAACTTAAGGTGACAATCTCAGTAGATTAGGAGAGGAACCCATGCCTCTGCACCTGGTATGTAGCTGAGGTGGCTATTCCTAGATAAAAGCGGGTAAATCAAAATCAACTTCATTGTCTCATAATTGCCACTAGCTACCCTGAATTGTGCTCTCTGCTTTAAATCAAGTTCCTCTCGCCTGCCATCTTGTGGCTGACAGTGAGCAGCTTGCCTGAAGAGCTTTCGTTTCCTGTTTTAATTCACAGCTACCCCTGCTGGCCCAAGAGGCAACATGTTTAAATTGCTCAAATCAAAACTTCAATGTCTTAAAATATTTTTACTTTACTTTATTTACCTGTAGTTATTTTGAAATTTCAAGCACAGAGAACGCATAGAATACATCAAGTATAAAAGTACATTTGTATTGTATATAGAGGTGTAACATTTAAGCAGGGTTTACAAAAAGGACAGCTGCTTTTTGCTTTTGCATTAGCTGGCCAAAGCACTGACCTTGCCCAAGGTTAAAGGTGAGGCCTTTAGAAACTGCTCCAAGTTCAGCATCTGTCCAACCCAATGCCTTGACTGGTACTGTGCCAGCAAGTATAGCTTGATTGCTGTATGTGAATTTACTGATCATTCTGAATTATAGATCAGTTCTAGTATTTTATCATTTGAGTATGTTTGAGCAATATTTCCTCTCTCTATGTTTACTGTGGGTGAGGGAAAGCCTCTCCTGTAGGCTCCTGGTCCTGCAGTTAACCCAACTGTGCACGTGATTCCAGGAGAGAGCCATTTTGCCCAGGCGAGTACACATTGGGACTGTGGGGTTAGATGTTACCAGAGCAAGTGGATTATCAGTATTAAGCAGTGGTTTCCTGTTTGTGGAAGAAGGCAAAATTCATTTAGTTATTGGCATGTTACTCAGGCAGTGAGTACCTTGTTAAGTTTATGTCACTAGTGTCCTTCTGTTATTTACTAGGTATTTGTGGTCGGAGGATTTCTGAAGAGGTTTAACTTATTCGTAGCTAGATTACACTGTCTTTTTTTTTTTTTTCCTCTCCGTCTCAGAAGGTGAAATGTTAGCTATCCCACTATGTCTTGGTTGTTGTGGTTATAACCATAGAACAAAGTGTCTGTGCTCTGCCTGTGACCCTGTGCTGGGAGTTGTTAGCTCACAGGCCCGGCAGTGACCGCGGGTTGGCATTACTGAATGTGAGAATAT